TAACTCTTCTCTTGGAAGTGGTCCATGGGAAAGTGATTTTTATTATACTTCCATTGATCACCCCTATTCTCCTTTTGACAATTTTCTGTAATCCCTACATGGAGAAACTCTGAGCTAGAAAAATTTGAGTCAGACTCTAATTTCTTGAGGGCATTATTGTATTGGTAGTCAGATTTATTCCATGAATTTATAACCTCAAAATTATTTTTCTGTCTTTTCCATTGTGGATTCATTTAATTTTTATCTTATGGTAGCTTCTTAGGAATCAGAAGAAATCCAGGAAAACTGCCAGGTGTAGTAGATTTCTCTTTCCAGTGTTTCTTTTAAATGACACTGGACCTCTTCATGGGTAGTCATCATTTTTGTTACAGTGGTTTTGATCTAACGTTTCCTTTTGATTGTATCTTAGTTTCCATGTTTCTGCTTACATTACCTGTCTGTTCCTGTATGTGGCGCACTTTTTCCGATAAATCCCTTTGCATATTGATCAGAGTTCTTTTAAATTCGCAGTATGATGATTCCAGTATCTCTGCCATATCTGAGTCTAGATCTGATGTTTTGTTTTCTCTATAGATCCTGGGGGTTTTGTTTGTTTTTGCCTTTTAGCATCCTGGTAACTACTTGTTGAAAGCCTGATATGATATATCAGGTGAAAGGAAATGACGTAAATAGGGTTTTGTTTCTTTTTTTTTTTTTTTTTTTTTNACGGAGTCTTGCTCTGTAGCCCAGGCTGGAGTGCAGTGGCGCGATCTCGGCTCACTGCAACTTCCATTTTCCGGGTTCAAGCAATTCTCCTACCTCAGCCTCCCGAGTAGCTGGGACTACAGGCGTGTGCCACCACGCCCAACTAATTTTTATATTTTTAGTAGAGGTGGGGTTTCACCATGTTGGCCAGGATGGTCTCAGTCTCTTGACATCGTCATCCACCCTCCTCAGCCTCCCAAAGTGCTGGGATTACAGGCATGAGCCACCGTGCCAGCCAGTAAATAGGTCTTTAGTGTGAGATTATATTTTTATTTGGCTAGGCATTAGATTGTGTTTACTGTTTGCTTTAGCTGCATGTCAGAGGCTACAATTTCCTCTAAGTTCTTTGATTTTGTCTCCTCTGTTGTCTTTGGGTTTTTCTAGAGTCCTTAAAAAGGACCTGACTCTCTTTAGAGTTATTTTAGCTGTAATCCTCTGGTATTTTATAGGAACTCTATTGATAGGGTGGTAACAACTTAGGGTAGATGGGAAGATATTCTGTAGTCCTCTATTAGGTCTCATCTTTTAAGTGAGCCCAAGTTGGGCATTTCCTTTCCCCAGGTTAATTAGGTTCTGGTAAAATAGTTCCTCTTGAACTATTTCAGGTATTGTTAAAGACAATAGAGAGCTCTGGAGTATTTCTAAATGGTTATTTTTCGCCTTCCCCGGCAGAAACAAGAGGGAGTTTTTAATGTAGTCTTCATAGTGAGAACCTAGGTAGCCCTCCTAGAAGTAAAATTCATAAAAATTTGTCCCCTCCCCCTTAAGGTTGAACGTCCTCCTAGTTTTTAGCTCTTAAGCTAGTCCACACTCCATCTAGCAGTTCGTCCATTGCAGTTTAAAGTGTTCCTACCTTAGTCCTGGTTTCAGCTGAGGGCTTTTGCTCCTGAGCTTTTGTACTCTGTAAACTGATTCTTCATATCTGCTTGTCTGTATCTCCATTTTCAGGGAAACAGTTTGCTCTGTGGCCTCATTTATCTGATGGAACTAATAAGAGTTGTTGACTTTCAGTTTGTTCAGTCTTTTTCCTTTTTGTAAGGTCAGTAGTACCTACTTCCAAGCTCTTTATACATCAGACCAAAAAACAGAAGTTTCTCGGTTTCTTATTAGAATGAAGACGTAATTTTAGAGCCTGCATAGTCTTCTTAAGCCTTTTCTTTTCCATCTATAAACAGCTCCCAATGAACATTTGAACACAGATGACACTTGGACGGAAATACTTTTTCATCTCCTTTTTGAAATTATCTTTTTCATTTTTTGGTTTTTCTAAAGGCAGACTGAAATTCTATGCAATCTGGAAGGCAATGAATGAGTCCTTGATGCTTTCTTCCTAAGCCTTGATTTAGCAATTGGAAAATGTTTTTTTTTTTTTTAATCTTAAACTTGTATCTTTTTCAAAAGACGTAGACAGGATGGACAGAGAGGAGAATTCATTTACAATTTTAATTATCTTCTGTTTGCCAGAGTATCCTGTGAATACAAGAAGGAATAAAGGTAGGAGACCCAAATTGTAGTGTTCTATGAGTAGATGTGTAACAGACAGGTAAACATATTAGAGTAGTATGTTAGACAATGATATTTTATCACGTCCAGAGGAAAATAGAGGTGAGACTTTGCCATATCTTGGAGGGTTAGGGTGAGGCCGTGAGAGTTACTTGAAGGAGTTGACATGTGATCTGTATCTTGTAGGACGACTAGAGCTGTGGAGAGTGTACTGAACACAGAGAATTGCTTATAAGGTAGATAACTTCATCTAGGATTGTTTTTTTTCCTACAGTAAGGAATTGGAGACCAAAGTAAATTAGGCAAGTTAAATAGTGTTTTTCCAATTCTTAATATATAGTTTTATTATTTGGTTTGATATGTTGCAAATTCCAGAATATAGACTTGCCCGATTGTGTGTTTCAAAGCTAAATATAAGCGATTTCTGAGTTTTTGAATTATTTTATATTATCCTGTAGTATAAAGACTGAGGATTAACTGATGGGTCTAATAAGAGCTGTTGGCTTTCAGTTTGTTCATGCTTTTTTTCTTTTTGTAAGGTCAGTAGTATTTAATTTTTTAATTCTCAGATTGTGTCTCAAATATTTTTCATGGTGGTAGAATTCATTTGGATTGAGTTAAGTTCGATTGGTTTTGTTGTTACTTCAAATGTAAGGATATTTTGTGATTTCATAGATAGAAGGATATTTTCAGAAATGTTAAGCCACTCATTTTGCTAATCTTATTTAATCTATTGCTCTTAAAGCAGCAGGTCATTTTGTAACTTTATGCTTATGTTCAGTCTGAACCTCCACATTTTTAGTTTACTCTTACAAATCTACAGTACCACTACCTCCCAGTGAGGGTATAATGAACATAATTTTAACTTCTATGTTGAAACATAAGAATACTGTTAGTTTAATAACTAGCATTTTATTACTTAGTTCTAAAATAGTTATCATAGCTTTTGAAATTACCATTACCAGCCAAGATAAAGCTGTTCTAGCATATATCTAATATACTGTTTCTGAAATGAAATGAATGCTTATACATAGAAGAAAGAATTTTGGACTCCTCGAAGAAAGCAGGATAAAGAATCTATTTTAGATTATAGAATACAGCACCAAAGCAAGCAATTGACATCTTAATTTTCTTAAAAAAAATCATCCTTTGATTTTGTTTCATAAAATTTGACTTTTAATTATGTTTCTGCTAAAATTATTCTCTGAGGTTTTACGCATAGATAAGCAGACATTTTGCAGTGGAGAAACACTCTTTAAAATGACCATTAGGCCGAGCGTTGTGGCTCATGCCTGTAATCCCAGCACTTAGGGAGGCTGAGGCGGGCGGATCATGAGGTCAGGAGTTCGAGAACAGCCTGATCAACATGGTGAATCCCCATCTCTACTAAAAAAAAAAAAATACAAAAATTAGCCAGGTCTGGTGACACGCTCCTGTAATCCCAGCTACTCAGGAGGCTGAGGCAGGAGAATCGCTTGAACTTGGGAGGCAGAGGTGTCAGTGAGCCAAGATTGCGCCACTGCACTCCAGCCTGGGCAACACAGGTGATGGATTGAGAAAAAAACTCAAATAATAATAAAAAAAAAAAAAATCCAAAAAAAAAAAAAAGAAAAGAAAAAGAAATAAAAAAATAATAATGATAAAAATGGCCATTATTACCACTTATTTAATATTTGCTTTTATTCCAGATGTCTCTTTCCTTACTCTTTGCCTTCCTTAATAGAAATACTATATTAATTTTCTATTGCTGCTATAGCAAATTACTATAAATTTTGTGGCTTAAAGCAACACAAATTTATTATCTTACAATTCTGTAGGTCAGAGTCTTGTATGAGTTTCACTGGGCTAAAATTAAGGTGTGGATATGCTGTTTTTAGGATCTAGAGAAGAAATTGTTTACTGCTTCTAAGGGTTGTTGGCTGAATTCTGTTCCTTGCAGTTGTAGAACTGAGGTCTCATTTTCTTACTGCTGTACACTGAAGGTTATTCCACTTTATAGAAGCTACCACATTTCTTGGCTTGTCTTCTTCCTCTACTTTGAAAACCAGCAACACCCAGCTCAGCCACTTTGCGTCTCTCTGACCCACTGTTCTTCTGTAATCTACCTTTAAAGACATAACACCATCCAGATAATCCAAGAAAATCTCCCCATTTCAAGGTTCTAAACCTTAGTTATATCTGTGGGTTCTTTTAATATGAAGCATAATATACTCACAGATTCCAGGAATTAGGACATGGACATCTAGAGGAACTATGTTTCTTCCTAGCATAAGCAGTGATATTGACTGGTCCCTGACTTTCTGGATGAGTTTTCCTTTTCTATTTAGAATACCTCTGACTTTTTCCTCCTCGATTCAGTGAATACAAAAGAGGTGTTGAGATTCAGAGTCACTAGGTGCTATTAATGTATTAGATATAGTGCCTATGGGAAAATAATAGGAGAAACAAATTTTAGAAACACCGAAAAAAAGAAAATATACTTTCAGTGTATTTCCTTGAAAAAGAGAAAGTCATGTATATTTTTGTGAATCTATATTAATTGGCGTTAATCCTTAATACCAAGGTTCATAGTTACTCATACAGCAGCAGGAAGTAAACCATTATGGGTAATTAGGAGTCTCTTAATATAGTATCAAAGCATTCCAAGATGAAAAGATATTTACTCAGAAAAATAGCAATAATTTACCAAAATTTATATCAGTTTTGATAATGGATGACATTGCATCTTAATGTGTTATTTCTTTCCTACTTAGATCATCACAAAGTATGTATACGAGCTCCTGGAAAAGGATTGTAATTTGAAAAAAATATCTATTCCAGTAAGTCAAATTTTAAATAAATGTTTATTCCAAATGAAATGTTTATTTGTAAGTAAAATAGTATTTAATTCCGAAGAAAACTTTTGTTTTGAGTTAATTGTGATAAGTTTAAATGTTAAGGTTCCGTTGTATTGATATTGATAATTTTAAATGCTTATTAGTATACCTCATCTCATTCTGCACAGTAGTTCTTATAAAGTAATACTTTTCAGTAGAAAGGAAAAAATACTGATTTCCAGTCTTTTTGAAAATGATGATGCAATTAAAAGGATTACTCTTTCCTGTACCCTTTCTCATTTCATTGGAATAATTTATTTTTATTTGTAGTAAACCAGTATACTTTTTGTTACATTAGACATTTATTGTCTCTTTAAATATTTCTTGGTTTTTAAAAATATGTCTTATTTCTACACATAATATGTTGTTTCCTCTACACATTCCCAAATTCATTCCTGGTGCTTCCTGTTTCATAACACTGCTCCTTCCCTTTCTGGCAGAACATTTTTTTGAATTTTGCACATTTTGCCATTTCAGAGTGAAAAAGTTTGAGATTTGTTCCCAGACTCAAATTGCCAAAAAAACCAAAAAACAAAACAAAAAATACACAAGCCCCTGTTATTTTAAATGTAAACCGCAAAATATTAAGCTTTTAAATTAAGAGATTATAATCATGTTTCTGAAATGGTGGTTGGACTAGATTGGAGGATCTTTGCTGTCCCTGACAACTTTATGATTTTTGATATATGAGAATGTGGGAGAGTTGATAAAAGTAATACATTTAAGGCACAACACTTTGCTTATAAATAATTTTGTTTGCATGAAATTTTGCATGAGTTTTAAAAATTCCTTGGATAGGGCTATTTTATTATGAGTGGAAGATTTGAGGATTTCTTAATAGTGTCCCTCTCCAGAACTGAGTCCTTAGTTTCTTTTTTAAAGGAAACCTATTTATTTAATTTTCTGTAAGTAACCTCAAATGCAAGAACACATTGTTAGTCATTTGCTCATTTATTCATTTATTCAACATAGATTTATTTAACTTTTTTTTAGGTGTTGGACACTGTTCAAACTGCTTATGATCGATTAGTCAATAAAATATTATTCTGTGTTACAGCTACATCAATCCTTGGTTTATTGGAAACTTTTCTTCCTTTGAAGAAACACATGAATGTCAAGATTTTAGTACCTTTCTGGGAATGGATATGCCAGTCTTTTTTGTATTTAAACTTACTGTTTTAGTTTTGACTTTAGGTCTAGCATTTTACTCCATTAAAACTATATAATGAAATTTGGTCTTCTGGAAAGTCAGGGTAGAATTTTGTCACTTTGCCCAGTTTTCCTTTCTTGTTCATTTTCTTTCTTTCAGAGTTTCTGAAGAATGATATTTAAACAGCTGTAGGTTAATTTATTGATACAACACAATTAATATTGGATCCTTTAACTCTATAATACTTCTAGTTCCATGGAATCCTTAAACTCACGTCAGTCTCCAAATTTCTAGAACAAATCTCAAAATAATTGGCTATATAGATCACGTTATATGATTTTCATTATTTATCATTATAGAAAACTTGAAATTAGATGGAAGACGACTTTGTATAATGAATCTGATTATCCTTTGATTTTAAATTTAGAATATAAAGCTAATAAGCAAGGGCCAATTAAGTTTATATCAAACTTAAGTGTCATGCCCATCTTTTGTTAATAAAGTTTCCCTTATTTTATAAACTTATAAAGTAACTCTAAATTTGTCTTAGAAAATTAATATCTTCCTTTAAATTATCACATATTTGGTATAGTTGTGAAATTTTTCTTCACAGCTATTTTTTAATAGCTATTATTTTTCTCTTGAGTTTTCTTAAATCTCAGAGTGAGAGAGAGAGAAAGAGAGAGAGAGTGTGTGTGTGTGTGTGTGTGTGTGTAAATAGTTGTTCTTTTTACTTAAAGAATACCTTCAAACCTTTTTTTTCCTGATGATGAACTCTTTCAGTCTTGAACTATTTTAAAAGAAAAAAGAACCATCTTTTAAATGACAGCACTTTGTGGAACTCATGATTTGATAGTAAACATTATGATCATGCTTTATGTTTAGTTCACACCTCTCATAAATAGGCATAAAGCTTTCTCAATTATAGTGAAATATCTCATACTTGTATAGAATACTGGAGACATGAATTAACAACTTCACTACAAATTTTAACTTAGAGTATTACATACATCATGCTTCAGCAATTAATGGTGTTCATGAGAGTTTATTACGTACATCATGCTTCAGCAATTAATGGTGTTCATGAGAGTTTATTACGTACATCATGCTTCAGCAATTAATGGTGTTCATGAGTATTCCACAATGAATTGTTAACTGCTAAAAATTATTTGGTGCAGTCTCATCAACTAAAAGGTGTCTGGGGTTGATTCGTCAATAAACTGAGGTGGTTCACTGGAAAGACCTTTATGTGTATTCTTTAATGAAAACTTAGCATAACAAATTAGCACTGTTTGAAGATAAATGACCTTGGAACAGCTATATATTCAAACGTAATTAGGTTAATGAAGAAGAGTTATTTTATTCATGTAGATATTTTACTAAAATTAGCACTAACTTTATAGAGAGTACATTGTAGTTCATGTGCAGAGTCAGAGTTCTGTGTAAACTGAGGTGAATATTAGCCAATGACCAGCTAAAATTCTTTTATGTCTTATTAATATTATTAAATTCATTTTCATTGTTGTTTTTCTTGAATATTCTGATATTCTTATAATTTCAAAGCCAGCTTTTCTCAATATTCAAGTAAAACTTTCATTTATTCATGGCTACTTTAATTTGTAGACCCTTAAAAATTCTGGAGCAGCATTTTTTAAAATGTGATTCCATTTTCCCTCTTTTATCTTTCTTCTTATCACCACTGCATTTTTTTAAAATGTGATTCCATTTTCCCTCTTTATTCTTTTTTGAGACAGGGTCTCACTCTGTTGTGTAAGCTGAATGTTGTGATGCAGTAATGGCTCATTGCAGTCTTGACTTCCTGGGCTCAAGCAATTCTCCAGACTCAGCCTCCTGAGTAGCTAGGACTACAGATGTGCACAATCACACCCAGCTAATTTTTGATTATTTGTAGAGACAGGGTCTCACTATGTTGCCCAAGTTGGTTTTGAACTCTTGGACTCAAATGATTCTTGACTGAGCAGCATTTTAATATAAACATAGATTTTTATCATTTGAAAATATGTCTCTTTCAGTTTTAAGTGATTACTGTGGACTTCAAAGTGGCAATATCCCATTGCTTAAAACATTGACTCAATTTCTTGGTAACAGGGGACTTAGTCAAATAGGAAAAAAAGAGACAGTGATCAGCACCTACTGGAATATCTGTAGCTACAGGTTTTTTCATTAAGGTAAATAGATATCCATCTCCATAGACATTCCAGGATCCATTAAGGCCTTATTGACTTTAAGAGGCACTTTTCTTTGTGTGTGTTTAGACATACTCTTTGGTAATTGAATGACTAGAAACCCCTGTGGCCTCTTTTTTATTATACACTGACAGCTTTGGCTTTCAATATTTTTTATTTTGTTCTTATCACCATTGCCTTTTTTTTTTTTTTAGCCTCTTTAACCGAGCAATAATTCTATTTTCATATGTGTTTCTAGGTAAAGGGAATTTTTCTTTTAGGTTTGGTTTTCCTGTGTCTGTCATCCACTTATCTTCCTGTGTGGCTTTAGTCATATTTATTGTCATCATTATAATTTGTTTACTCTGGTCGTAGCATGCAGGTAAAGCTAATATGATTGTGTTACGTTTCATATCTCTCTTTCTGTATTTTTAGCTATTGCTAATAAAATTATAGTTATGTCATTTTAATTCTTTAACATTGTACAGGTCTTGTAAAATTTTCTATAATTTTGTGCTAGTTTAATCTTCAGTATATGCTTTCTGAACCAGGCAAGTATTATAACCATTTCGAGGATATATTATTTAGTTAAATGCCTTTTATTGAAAGGAAGTCACTGGTGATGCTTGATAAGATTCCTTATTCCAAAAGTTTATTTTTTTTAATTACTGAGTGTCTACAATGTGCTAGGTTCTGTTTCAGGTACTGAGACTATAGATGGATACAAACCCAAGAACTCTGTGCCTGCCTAGACTTACATTCTAGTGGAGGGAGCAGGTGGTGAATAAACACAATTGCAAAAATAAAGAGTAAAGCATACAATGTGTTAGATCATGGAAGAAAATAAAACAGGGAAAGGGACTACAGAATTCTTGGGGGCATGTTTGGAATTTTAAATGGGGTAGTCAGGGAAGACTTCAATGAAAAGGTGTTATTTCTTCTTTAAGCCCCATGTCCATGCTGCGCTTGCTGAAATAATTGCCATTTGTGCTCTGTTTGCACAAATGCCTAAGCCATCTCTTACTGAAACCAGCCCGATTGTTTTAGAAGTAGAAATATTTTATTTTATTTTTCTCTTCCTAAGCATAATGAGTGGGAATATTTAGAATCCAGGGTGTTCTTTTAGGCATCTAGAGTTTTTGTATACTTCTTATTTTGATAATTGTGTGAACATATGCAGTTGACAAAGTGAAGAGCTATTTCATTACACTGCATGTGGATTGACCTTCTTTATGTGAGGGTGTGTAACCAGCCCTCACAACGTCAACTTCTGGCTTGATCTGGCTATCCACAGGCTTCCATTTCCAGTTACTGACCACTGCCGATATGGAATACCACTAAGTGTGTCATGGCATATGTAAGAAAAGATTGGGAAATTAAAGTGTTTTGTGTCTTTCAAGTGTAAATCATACATCATATAGTTAAAAATCTAAATATTAATTACAATCAAAATGGATAAAAATATTTACTTTTTATCACGTAAGTAACTAGTTTATAAAGTAAGTTCATCGGAGTACATAAATAATGTGGCTTTGTAAAAATAATTGTTATTTAATCCTATGTTCACAGTCTGAATGAAATTTTAAAGCCCGTTTACATAGATCAGGTAAGAATAGAATAGATGGTTAGTTTTTAAATAGGTTCCTCTTCTTCCCTTCAACAATTTAGTGCCATTCCTGGCTGATATATGATTTTCCAATAGATTTATCTCCAATTTCAGTTTTCTATTTTTTATTATTTCTGTGCAATATTCTGTTATAAAACTGATAGTTGTGTGACTATGGTTAGTTTATTTAAACTCTCTGTCTCAATTTCTTTATCTATAAATTAATATAATAATAATACCACCTAAATGGGTTGTGAATGAATGAGATAATGTTTTTAAAACAGGTAGCATAGCAGCTAGACTGTAGGTAGCACTAAAAAAAATGGTAATTTTTATTTACAATGGTACTATAATACTAAATATACAAGAATAATAAGGAGAAGCATATTACCAATACTTTTTATATTTTATATTTAAATTACTATCATGTCTTGGCTCATCCACCTAATACATAATTGTTAGTCTGTACTGAATATTTTAATTTTGGGTTAAAGGTGTTTTTTACTTCTTTAATTCCATAGTAACCATTTAATACTTCATAACAACCATTAGTTGTTTTTCGTTTATATGTATGCCTGATCAGAAGATATTTATTTGTTATTTAATTTTATTTAATTACAGGTAGATGCTACCGAGACTGAACCAAAGAGTTTTATCTATATGAGTGAGGACGCTTTGACAAATCCACAGAAACTGATGGTTTTAATTCATGGTAGTGGTGTTGTCAGGGCAGGTCAGTGGGCGAGGAGACTTATCATAAATGAAGATCTGGACAGTGGCACACAGATACCGTTTATTAAGAGAGCTGTGGATGTAAGTACAATTTCCTTATTTTTTGGGGCATTTTATAGTACTGTTTTATTATACATTTTTATATTTCTTCAAAAAGTATATTGTAAGCATAATCTTATCTTCAAGTTATTATTTCTTTTACTTGTATGAAAGATTATTCTGCATTATAATGCAGTTACAAAGAAAAACAAAGTGGTATCTTGAGCATACAAAGACTTAATAGCTTTTGAATGAATTATTTTTCTAAAATATTTTTAATCATGTGAAATATCAAACTATCAAATATGTATCAACATAATTGAAAATACTTCTGACAAAAATATCATGACTGCTTTTGTAAACCTTTGCCTACCTGATTTAATGAAGTTATAAACTAAAGCTACTACTTTGAATTAATCTCATATTATTTAAAGGAAGAGTTGGAATAACTCAATTTGTTGGTCATTTCTTTAAAATGTTCTTTAGAGCCCACAAATAAAATGCTTTAAGCATGAGACAGACATGCAGAATGGCAAAATGTAATATTTACTGAATATTTTATTCTTATTTGCATTCAAACATTTTAGAAATTGCCATTTTTAAATTGTATCCAGGATTTTCTTCCTTGCAATGGGAATTGGTTTTCTGACATAATATTGGCACATTTTAGTGTTTGGCTGCTTTTTTTTTTTTTTTTTANTACCTTTGTAAGTTCTGTAGTGAACAGTCCAATTTTGCAAAGTATGAATTTCTTTCACATCAGTAGATTTTCCTTAAAAAAAAAAAATAAACTGATGTCTCGTATAAAAGACTTACTGTAAAAAGTAAAGGAATATATGTGTCCATGTAGGCTTTGTTTTATTTATAAGAATTACTACATTTTTGTAATGGAAAGGAATTATTTAATACACTGATGATTACAAAAGTCAAAAGTAACATGTTATCAATTCTGTTAACTCAGAAATAATAATATGAAGGCTCAGCCCAGCTCCTAAGGAACATTTAGGTTACTAGATTTGAAACCCTTAAAATCCTGGAAATAATCTTTCTTAGATTGATTATATAGTGGTTTTTTTTTTCTAGTTTTTGTGCTTAAGCAAAGAATGCAAAGATACTACTTTTGATCTGGTTGCTAACTTCGATAGTCTGTATTTTAGTAGAATTGAAGTAACTATGATAAATTGAAGATTAGACTAAATTAACACAATAAAATATTATATTTAAACTGTTTCAAATTTCAGGTTTTAAACAGTGACATGAACTTTCTCTCTGACACAATTGTTTGTAGTTAGACAGACCCTGTCTGTGTATTTTTTGAAGAACATTACATGTAAAATGTGTTCACAATTTGATGAATATTTGAAAATATAACTTAGTAAAGAAAATCAGATGCTTTGAACATGCCAGTGCTAGGTGAAATATTTTATGTAGTTATGTTTTCCCTGCTATAGATTACTTAAGCCTTTCCAGTTCTGGAATATTTCGTTGTTAAGGATTTTGAGGGGAAAGTCTATATGGAAAACCATGCAAAACATATTTATTTGAACAAACTTTCTATGGATATCCCAGACAGGAGGGAGGAAGTTTGTTAGTAATATTACAATAATAAGTCATTTTGTTCTTATAAGTAGGAATAGTGTTTTGGGGATAACAGCATTTCAGTGTATTGAATTTTTCTTCTTAATAATGGCAACTCGTGATTTCTTGAAAAGAAGCAACTGATTTCTAAGCATGCAGCACACATAGAAATTTTAGTTTACACATTTGATATTCTTTATTTTAGAAAAAATGTATATTAACATTATTATGGTAATATTCTTCATGGTGATTGAGAAACAGGTATTTTTACTACTTTAACTTTACCTTTTCATATTGTTGTCTTCAAGGGTTGCTCTTTAGGTGGGGAGGAGTTGGTTGACGGAATGATAATGGTATTTTAAGATGCAGGCAGAGAAAGACTAACAAACAGGGAACAGGAAGCTGTCCCATTCTTACTTTTCTTTTTTTTTTTGAGACAGAGTCTCGCCCTGTTGCCCAGGCTGGAGTGCAGCGTCACCATCTCAGCTCACAGCAACCTCCACCTCCTGGGTTCAAGCGATTCTCTTGCCTCAGCCTCCCAAGTAACTGGCAGGCCACCACACTCAGCTAATTTTTTGTATTTTCAGTAGAGACGGGGTTTCACCATGATGGTCTTGATCTCTTCACTTTGGGATCCACCCACCTTGCCTACCAAAGTTCTGGGATTACAAACGTGAGCCACCTAGCCCAGCCCACTTAAAAAAAAAAAAAAAATCAGGTTAGCTCTGCTTTTGTTTATACTTGTTTGGACTTTTTCTAAAGCTTTCTTTAAAGAAAGGTTTCCAAAATTTTCAAAAAGTTAGAACTCTCTTTTTCATGGTCTGTGGTTTTTCATATCACAACTGAAGTAAATTCCGATATTTTGGAGGCCACACAATATTATCATTGCTAAGTGTTATTAATACTGTTTCTTTATATTCCCTGCAGATTTTTGGTATAAGACTGAAATTTCTAAAATTTGATTTCTATCATTGTAAGGTTAAAACTTTTTTTTTTTCAATAGTAAACCCCTAAGTGGACTAGTTTGTAAAAAGTATTAACTTTAAATCTGTGAAGCCATTGGGTTGAAAGGAGGGCATGGTGAGCACTGGAACCACTCCCACAACAGCCCCTGAGATTTCTTCCCCAAATGCCCCAGGGCTCCACAGGTCATAGTTTGAAAATCATAGATATCCCAATCCTTGCATTTTAGATACTTAAGGAGTTTATTATCAAAAGCGGATTAAGAGTGCTTGTTGGAGGAATGGTGCATATTGGATAAATCTCCACAAGTGCTTCTGAGATTGCCATTACTAACATTTTTGGTGTTTGACAATCTTCATTGCATAATATGTTACCTGGAGTAAGAAACAGTGTTTCATGTAGCCAGATACCAATTATTCAGCCTCTGATTGTGCAGTTTGAGAGTTACTTATACTTGTTTCTTTGATGATCCATACTCACATGCATCTTTTTAGGCATTTCCACTGGTCTTTAAAAAGGGGTAAAAGCAGACAACCGTATTCATGCCCAAGAAGCAGTACAGTTTGGTTTCCATAACTTTGTGGACTAAGCTTATTAATATAAACTTTTCCTAGTAAACATGCATAATTATAATGTATAAAATGTAACAAAAATATTAAATACCTAGTTGTATATGAGTGTTCAAAAGACAGAGAAGGAGGAAAGTAGAGGCAGAGGAAGATGGCTAAATAGAAGCCTTCACCAGATGTCCTCACTCCAAGAACACCAAGTTAAACAACTACTCACACGAAAAAGCACCTTCATAAAATCCAAAAATCAGGTGAGCAATCACAGTACCTGGTTTTAACATTATATCACTGAAAAAGGCACTGAACAGGGTAGGAAAGACTCTCTTGAATCACCAATGCCGCCCTTCCTGTATGTCCTGACAGTGGCAGCGTGGTGTGGAGAGAGAATCTGCATTTGCGGGAGGGAGAGCGCAGTGATTATGGGACTTTTCATTGGAACTCAGTGCTGCCCTGTTACAGCAGAAAGCAACACCAGTTGACGGCCATGGAGGGAGCATTTAGACTAGCCCTACCCAGAGAGAAATCACCCATCCTAGCAATTGAAACCTGAATTCCAGCATGCCCTACCACTGTGGGCCAAAGTGCTGTGGGTTGCTAAATAAACTTGAAAGGCAGTATAGGCCATAAGGACTGCAATTCCTGGGTAGGTACTGGTGCTGTGCTGTGCTGTGCTTAGGGCCAGTGGACTGAACGAGCAAGCAGTCTGGTGGCATGCCAGCCAGGACAGCTAAGACAGTCCTTGTGTCACCCCTCCCCCAACCCAGGCAACACAGCTTACAGCCCAGGAGAGACTCCTTCCCTCTGCTTGCAGTGCTTGAGGAGAGAAGAGGAAAAGTAAAGAGGACTTTGTCTTACAGGTTGGATAACAGATGAGCCACAGTAGGATAGGACACTGGGTAGCATCCTGAGGCTCCCATGCCAGACACTAGATCCCAGATAACATTTCTAGATGCACTCTGGGCCAGGAGGAAACCCGCTGCCTTGAAGGGAAGGACCCAGTCATTGCAGGATTCATCACCTTCTGACTAAAGAGCCCATGGGCCCTAAGTAACTACCAGAGTGATACCCAGGGAGTATGCCATGGGTCTTGGATGAGACTCTGAGATGTGCAGGCTTCAGGTGAGAGCCAGCACGTTCCCAGCTGTGGTGGCAATGGTGAAAGACTCTTTCTGTTTGAGAAAAGCGGGGGGAAAAGCAAAGGGGACTTTGTCTTGCACCTTAGGTACCAGCTCAGCCATAGTGGGATAGAGCACCAAGAGGGCTCTTAAGGTCCCTGATTCTCAGCCTTGACTCTTGGGCAGTAGTGACTCTTGGGCAGTATTTCTGGACCTACCTTGGGCTAGAAGGGAGCCTGCTGCCCTGACAGGAGAGTCCCAGGACTGGTAGCATTCACAAGTGGATTGAAAAGCCCTTGGGCATTGAGTGAATATTGGCAGTAGCCAGTCTGTACTTGTCGCAGGTGTGGGGCAGTTGTAGCTGTTGGAAGAGACTGTACTGCCTGTGGAAATGGGAGAGGAGAGTGGGAAGGACTTTGTCTTGTGTCTTGGGTGCTAGCTCAGCCACAGCAAAATAGAAGACTGGGTAGGTTCCTAAAGTATCTGACTCTAGGCCCTGGCTCCCTGATGAAACTGCCCGGGGCTGAGGGGAACTCACTGCTATGAGGAAGGGTTACAAGCCTGACTGGTTGTAGAACTATAGGACCTTGAGTGGATATAGGTAGAAGCCAGGCAGTGGTTACTGCAGGCCGTGGGTGAGATGCTTCCATTCTGACCCAGTATTGCAATTGACCCAGATGCAATACCATACTGGCTTCAGGTCTGACCCAGCATTGCCACTGGTGGCAGCCACAGGGTGCTTATGTCACCCTTCCCCCAGGTCCAGGCAGCTCTGCCCAGAGAGACACACTGGGAAAAAGTAAGACAAGAGTTTCTT